AACCTCGCAGCAGGGTTGCATTATGGCAATACTAATCGCATTTTTTTATTTATTGGGCACGTTTTCTATATTTGCATTTAATTTGAGCGCAATTTCTGATGAAAAGAAATAAATCAAGGAAAAGAAATAACAAATATTAGGAATTGGTAATTAAGTTAAATAATTACAATTTTTCAGAAACAAAATCGAAAGGCGACATATAAAAAAGCACGCAAAGAAGAAATGTCTGGCAACACCAGCAAAGTTTTGAGACGATTTTGCGACGACTGCTAGAAAGGGGTGCTCACAGTTTGATGCTAAAGATGTCTCAAAATGTAGACGTCTACATTTTCAGACACAATTTGGAATGAACTGTGAACACCCCAATTAATTACACAGGCCAACAAAAATGAAAAAAAAAATGTTGGTGCGACAAATGTTAAAGCTATTTTTGATAGACTTTTTTGTGCTGATTACGAATCCGTAAGTACAAAGGATCCAACACGTACAGGATTTGAGAAAGTCGAGGTCAAAGTGTCAAAAAATCGGGCTTTTGCAATATTTGAGAAGCTCTAGCAAAGAGAAACAAGTAAGAGCAGCGCTGTCTTCGGCTATGCCGAAGGCTTCATACCTTTCATGAACATCTGCAAATTTTACTTTGACAGATTACTGCTTTTGAATACATCTGCATACATCGATAGAGGAGTTACATACTTATATAAAAAATCGCATCTAAACAATCAGAGGTATGGAAGATATACTTTACATGACACCAATCTAAGTGATTTTCACCGCTATGTGATCGGTATGTAAACCGGTAACACAATTTATTGGGTTTAGTTTCGTACATAAAGGAGATATATGGCAAAAACTGGTATCTTAACAATCAGTGCTATAGGAGATAAAGCTTATAAAGCATAGATTTTGACGATTTTCTCAGTAGACTTTGTATTATTATTTATAAAATATCTTACGAAATTTATCGGTTTTAGCTGTTCAAATAAAGGAGTTTTACAGTAAAATCCCATATCTGAACAATCAGATGTATGGAAGATATATGTTGTAGTCATCCGATCCTTGTTGTT